GTGCATATAGCTCATTTTGTAGCTATGCGGTAAAACAAACTCAAAAGAAGAAACTTAAAGTGGTATCAGAATTAACAAAAGTTTACAGATTAAGATATGATTTTAACTCAACTTAATTTTATACTTCAAAATTAAACAACAATAGCTTAAGAAAGACATTTTGGGCAAGGGTCCAGATTAGGTTTATGGTTCAATCCTGGTACACATTTTCAGATGTTGACATCCCTGCTATCAGTTTCTTTATGATAAATCAAAACTTTAGATAACTGCAGAACCTAACTAATTTTAAAATACTTGCTTTTCTTTATATTTGATTGGAAGTTATTGATATGTTTTCTAGTTTTAACAGTCTGGAACTCGTGAAAGATTAGAAATTATTGTAATTGTTTACCTTAAAAATTCAGTGGTGTAAACAATATATCTTTTTCTTTAAAACCACTTTATGTGTATTATGCAATAAAACCAAAATGAAAACAGCTTTAACAACAAAGTGTAGAAATGAAAAGCATTTCATCCTACAGTTAAGCCTAACTTTGTTTACCCAAGTTGAACTTTTAAACACAGTAAACAAGTAATTATCTCTTAACAATATATCTTTTTCTTTAAAACCACTTTATGTGCTTTATGCAATAAAACCAAAATGAAAACAGCTTTAACAACAAAGTGTAGAAATGAAAAGCATTTCATCCTACAGTTAAGCCTAACTTTGTTTACCCAAGTTGAACTTTTAAACACAGTAAACAAGTAATTATCTCTTAACAATATATCTTTTTCTTTAAAACCACTTTAGTTTTATTGTGCTTTATGCAATAAAACCAAATGAAAACAGCTTTAACAACAAACTTTAGAAATGAAAAGCGTTTCATCCTACAGTTAAGCCTAACTTTATTTACCCAAGTTGAACTTTTAAACACAGTAAACAAGTAACTGTCTCTTAACCCTTGTGTTATAAAGGAAGAGATAGAATTTCTATCCAGTGGTTAAATTAATTTTTTAACAAATGCTGATTTAGTAATATAATAATGTTAAGTCTGTGAAGCATTAATCTTAAAATGTTAGGAAGCTCTTCCAAGTGTATTTTGTCTGAAAAACTTTAAAGCAAAACATATATACTGATTAAACAAAACTTGTGTAAAAAAGTATTGAAATAAAATGTAAAAGAATAATATTACTTAGTAAGTCATGCTTGAATGATATGTATGACCCATAAAATATGTTGTGTAGGGCATTAATAAATCCCATCACACTGATAAATACATGGAGTGACATCACATTAAAACAAGACATTTCCTAACAGTGTTCTTTTAAAACTGATAAATACATTTTGATCATGGCTTGACATTACATTAAAACAAGACACTTCCTAACAGTGTTCTTTTAAAACTGATAAATACATTTTGATCATGGCTAGACATTAAATTAAAACAAGACACTTCCTAACAGTGTTCTTTTAAAACTGATAAATACATTTTGATCATGGCTTGACACTACATTAAAACAAGACACTTCCTATCAGTGTTCTTTTAAAACTGATAAATACATTTTGATCATGGCCTGACATTACATTAAAACAAGACACTTCCTAACAGTGTTTTTTTAAAACTGATAAATACATTTTGATCATGGCTTGACATTACATTAAAACAAGACACTTCCTAACAGTGTTCTTTTAAAACTGATAAATACATTTTGATGATGGCTTGACATTACATTAAAACAAGACACTTCCTAACAGTGTTCTTTTAAAACTGATAAATACATTTTGATCATGGCTTGACATTACATTAAAACAAGACACTTCCTAACAGTGTTCTTTTAAAACTGATAAATACATTTTTGATCATGGCTTGACATTACATTAAAACAAGACACTTCCTAACAGTGTTCTTTT